CCTCTATCCACAACAGGTCACAGGGGAATAACTAGGTCAAAAGCAATTCATCTCCCTAGTGCGAAATCCCCTCTTAAAGATCAGAGACAAGCACCACTGCTACTTCACAGCATACACATGTGAATCTACACAATCTTGCAAATGCAAACCTAGTCTGAGCCCCAACGGGAGAGTCTGAATGATGAATGTGCAGTTTGAGCCGTTTTGAGAGTGACTAGCCTGTCTCTCTCGCAGAGAACTGAAACCCAAACACAATGTTCTGAAGAACACGGAGAAACCACAGCTTTGTCAGATAACCACAGTGATCACTTTGCAGTGCGCTGCAAAATGAGGCACAGACAGACTTATCAAACCTCAAATGAGCATTAAACCCAGTGACACGAAGAACTAAAGCAGATTTTTGTTGAGGTGACATCAAATCATTTCTAAAGAGCATGGAGACCTGTCAAAGCACAGTCAGAATTGAAAAGACAGTCAAAAGTATGTACCTCTTTGACTCCTTGCGATTCATGGTGTCTACCGGTGTCCTTTTGGTGTCCCCCAGGCTGCTTAAACCTTTTCTTGCCCCATCGGGTATCTTGCAGTCTCTCTCCTCCAGACAGAGGTACTAAGTGACCTCTTACAGGCTGGGACGTACAGTGGCTCTTCAGTCACGGCTGTGAAAACTTAAAACCTGAAAACCAGCTGCTGCGGCTCTGAGCTTTCTCTCTCTCTCTCTTTCTTTCTCTCTTTCACTCACTCGCTCACTCACTCACTCACTCACTCTCACACACCCCCTCTTTTCTTTTTCTCTGAATATCACCAGAGAACGTGAACCACAGGGCACAGAGTTAACCAAAACAATAAATAAAAGAACCCCTATTCGACGATAGGGCATTAAAAATAAAGAAAAAATTTGAACTCTAGGCTCAAAAGGTTGTCAAAATCAGCATGATCACAACAAACAACTAACTGCATTCAATACAAACAAGTCCCTATTTGAAATACAGGCATTGGCTCTGACAGATAGGGGAACTGTCATCTGTGTGCATGTGTGACAGAGGGAGGGGAAAAAGTGAGCGAGAGAGAAGAGAGGGTGGGATTGAGCT